GTCTATCTCCTCACCTTGCGCTGCCCTGTACCTAGGATCCCCTAACCTGTGCTCATCAGTCTCCCCGTCCCCATGAGGGCTGGGAAGATACTGGTTAGGGCAGGAATGAGCTGTAATCACCAGAACAGTTGCTTCCCCTGCAGAACCCTGGACCCCCACCTGACCATCATCCCGCTAATGCCAGGCCATAGGAGTGTGATGCTGACAAGTGTGCATGACTTATATCACCAAAGGAGCAGCTCAAGGACAGATCACACAGGGACTGGGACAACAACCTCCTGGATTACAGGGCAGATGATGAGTTGAAGGATGGCAGGTAGTGGTCTCTCAGTAATATCTATGCAAAGCCATCAAGGAGCAAAGATGTGTTCTGTAGGGACAACAGAAGGCAGAGTGAGGACAAATGGGAGAATTTTTGAAGAGAAAGGGCCTTGGTTCAGCAGAAGGAAGGACTTTCTAACCTTTGGGTGGTGGAAGAGCTTCCCTTCAGAGGTGGCAAGCTGAGACTATGATATACTATCCACCATGAATTCAGCTGAGGGAATTGATCCTGGGCAGGATGTTGTGAGAGATGGTTCCTGAGATTTGGGGATAATGAGGGTAATGGCCATTCTGACTCACCCACTTCTCTTGCTCCTCTGTGATGAGGATGGAGATATCTCAGAGGCTGGTGGCAGTTGGGTTTGGGCTGTGGCAAGGAAAGAGGAAACCCAAGCTGACTCCTCAGGACTTGAACCCGTGACCCAGGATCCAAGAACCTTCATCAAATCCCACCCCACCCCCTTGTATACAGCCCTGGGGCAGGCCAGGCTGAGATAATTACCACCCAATAACTTCATCCCCTGCTCCTGATTCACTCCCTAAAAAAACAATTGCATCCTGTTCTGGCCTGTTCCCACATGGATTATGGCTTGGGAAGGAGCAATATGAACTCGTGGGCTCCAGATTCAATGTGCCCTAAACAAGAGGTTACTTCCTTTTCATCTCTGGATCTCAGTTTCTATGTCAGTAAAGTGGAAAGCTGGGCTTCTAAGGGGCCCTTCCAGCTCTGCTGATTGTTACTGCTGTTAGCTGTCATCAAGTCAACTCCGACTCATAGCAACCCTAGGTACAACAGAACAAAATGTTGCCCAGTCCTGCATCATCCTCACAATCACCACCATGTATGAATCCATCATCGTGGCTATTGTACCAATCCATCTCACCAAGGATCTCCCATACCTTCATTGGCCCTTGTCATGGATTGAATTGTGCCCACAAAAAATGTTTGTCAGCTTGGCTGGGTCATGATTCCCAGTATTGTGTGGTTGTGTACCATTTTGTAGTCTGGTGTAGTTTCCTTATGTGTTGTGAACTCTATCACTGTGGTGTAATAATGAGATGGATTGGCGGCAGTTATACTGATGAGGTCTACAGGATTGGACGGTATCTTGAGCCAATCTCTTTTGAGATGTGGAAGAGAGCGGCGAGCAGAGACACGTGGGAACCTCAGACCACCAAGAAAGGAGTGCCGGGAGCAGATCGTGTCCTTTGAACCTGAAGTTCCTGTGCAGAGAAGCTCCCAGACCAAGGGAAGATTGATGACACAGACCTTCCTCCAGAGCCAACAGAGAAAAGCTTCCCCTTGAGCTGACGCCCTAAATTTGGACTTGTAGCCTACTGGACCGTGAGAGAATAAACTTCTCTTTGTTAAAGCCATCCATTTGCGGTATTTCTGTTAGAGCAGCACTAGATGACTAAGACAGCCCTCTACTTCACCAAGCGTGATATCCTCCTCTAGCGATTGATTCCTTCTGATGACATGTCCAAAACAAGCGTGTCAGATGTTTTGTTGTGATCCATAAGGTTTCCACTGGCCAATGTTTAAAATTAGATTGCCAGGCCTTCCTTCCTAATCTGTCTTGTCTGGAAGTTCCACTGAAACCTGTCCAGCATAGGTGACTGTCTTAGTTATCTAGGGCTGCTATAACATAAATATCACAAGTGGATGGCTTTAACAAACAGAAATGTATTCTCTCACAGTCTAGGAAGCTAGAAGTCCAAATTCAAGGTGCCAGCTCCAGGGGAAGGCTTTCTCTCTCTGTTGGCTCTGGGGGAAGGTCCTTGTCATCCATCTTCCCCTGATTTATGAGCTTCTCAGTACAGGGATCCCAGGTCCAAAGGACACTCTCCTCTCCTGACTCTTCTTGCTTGGTGGTAATTAAGCCCCTCTCCTCTCTGTTCGATTCTCTTTTATATCTCAAAAGAGATTGAATCAAGATACAATCTAATCCTGTAGATAAAGTCCTGCCTCATTAACATCATAGAAGTTACAACACACAGGATTTACAACACATAGGATAATCACATCAGATCACAAAATTGTGGACAACCACATGATACTGAGAATCATGGCCTAGCTAAGTTGACACACATTTTGGGTGGACACAATTCAATCCATAACAGTGACCCTGCTGGCATTTGAAATACCAGTGGCATAGCTTCCAGCATTATAGCAACTAGCAAACTACCATAGTACAACAAACTGACAGATGGGTGGTAGCTGCTGATATTAGAGTTTACAGTTCCACATACAGAGTAAATGGGGGTTCCTGCCTGTGTTTTCATACTAGACAGAAGCCACCTGAGTTCAAAGTCCTAGGGTTTGAGAGCCTTTTCCTAAGAACCACTGGAGCTAACTCGATGTGAAAACTTCAGTTCTACTTTCAAATGTGAGAACTGGCAAGTCCAGTGGCAAAATTCCCTGGCACTGTTGTTCCAGTTCCTGCTACACAGGGGCACCGTTCAGCACTGGTCCTACGCAGTTGTTGCTGATCACTATGCAGGGATTGTAGGCACTCCCAGGCTTGGGACGCAAGGTTTCCACTGTGTAATTTCCTACTCAGATGTTCAGTCACTATTCCCAAATCCTGAAGCCAGGCTAGATCTTTCAGCCTCCACCAAGCTAGAACTAGCCTTTTCCATGAATTCCAGTCCCGGGTATTGAGACCATGCCACAGGTCCAGACTCATGAATGGAGACCAGTTAGAGGCTCTTGCAGTCTAGAGAGAGATGTCAGTAGCTTGACTTAGAGTGTAGGGATGCAGATGGAGAAATGTGGATGGATAGGGGGCAGGTTTTAAAGATGCTGCCTTTGGACTTGATGATGAATTGGAAAAGTGACATGGGGGCAAAGAGAAATCAAAGAAGATTCCTAACTTTGGCCTGAGCACAGGGGAGATGGGATGCCATTTACAGAAATGGAGAATACTAGGAAAGAGCAGGATGGGTGAGGGAAGAAATAAAGAGTTCTGCTCTGGGTATGTTAAGTTGGATTTGCCAAGGAGACCAACAAATGGATGTTTCAAGTAGATGGTTGAATATATTGTTTGGAGTTCAAAGAGAAAACAGGAGTGAAGATGTAAATTTGGATGATATTGGCAGCATACCTCAGTAAAGACCGCTTCATTTTATCAAAAAACTTCTAGTAATATTGAACCTCAAAAAGCAAGAGCTTAGGAGGCCCATTGTTTTCCTCCTGAGATGCTCCTTATATAAATTTTCCCAGCTCTTCCCTGCTTTAGTATACCAAGCAGGACTTTGAGGAGCCTCCTTTGTCAGGCCACAAGAGGTCCTGTTATTCCCATACCCCAGAGTGGGTATCTGATGCCATAAACATAGGTAAGTAAAGGAGGCCACTCAAAGGATTACTTTCCAAAATAAAATCTCTTCTAAGGTGACTTGCTCTCTCCACCTCTTGATATAGAAGAAGCTGGTATAATTTCTGAAATTCTACCTCACCGTGGCTGCTTAAAAAATCACCCCAACACAGTGGCTGTAAACAATAACAAGTATTTATTATTATTATCACTCGCGGTTCTGAGGGTGAACTTGGCTTGGCTAGGCAGCTCCTGCTCAGGGTCTCCTTATGGTTGCCATCAGACTGTGGCCAAGGCAGAATCATCACAAAGGCTTCTTCTCTCACACGTCTAGCGCTTGGGCTGGGAAAACTCAAACAGCTGGGCGCTTCTCATGCGTCTCTACATGGTCCTTCTTTGTGGCCTCTCCAGTATGGTGGTTTCCATGTTGGACTTTTTATGTAGCAGCTCATATATAGCAGCTCAAGACTCCAAAGGTGCTTTTCCTGAGAGAGAAACAGCCAGGCAAAAGCTGCATTGTTTTTATGTACTAACATCAGAAGCCATATAACATTCACATCCTGCCAAACATATTGGTCAAAGCAGTCCCAAGCTCCTGTCCAGAATCGAGGGAGAAGAATATAGACCCCACCCCTCAGTGTGGGTGTGCCAGTCACATTGTAAGAGCATGTGAGATGGAATCCATCTATGCCTATGTCTATATATTTATGTCCATATCTATATCTATTATCTATATCTAGATCTATCTTTCCATCTATCTATATCTATATTTATATCTATATCTGTGTCTATATCTGCCTATGTCTATATCTGTAAAACAAAAAACCAAACCCGTAGCCATCGAGTTGATTCTGACTCATAACGACCTTATAGGACAGAGTAGAACTGTCCCATAGAGTTTCCAAGGAGCAGCTGGTGGAGTCAAACTGCTGACCTTTTGGTTAGCAGTCGAGATCTTAACCACTGTACCACCAGGGATCTCTCTATAAATCTATATCTATCTATGTATCTATCTGTCTATCTATCTATCTGTCTATCTGTCTATCTGTCTCTCTGTCTATCTGTCTGTCTATCTATCTGTGAAGCCATCTTTCAAAAACACAATGCACCACACTATGTAACAGAAGAAGGAAAGAAATGGACATTTGATGAGCACCTACTATGTGCCAGGTGTTGTTCACACATCATTTTATTCAATCTCGTTACTAAAGCTGAGAGAGCCATTATCATACCTATTTTATGGATGAGGGGTATTATGCTATGCCAAGGACACACAGTGAGTGAGGGACTGGCAGATCTAGGATTCCAATCCAGGTCTGAGTGACTCCTAGATTTGTTTTTCTGCTGCTCTGGGAGCTAGGAATGGAGAAACAAGAGGAGTATTTGGGGGAGAAAGAAGTGAACAACAACAGACTGGAAAGTGGGGCAAGCCTCCTGGTAGGGGTCTGAAGAACCGGGCCGAGGAGTTGAGTCTTCTTCTTGGGGAAGGAGAAGCACCTCAAGGAGTTATAAAAGCAACCCTGTTGCCTGGGGTAGTGTGACTGTGTCTCCCCTCTCAACAATGAACTGTAGTCGGTCCATAGATGTTAGATGTTGGAGAAGGATGACCCTGGCACCAGCTCTATTCCAGCTGTAGACAAGAGATGGGAATAAGAAGTAGCTACAGGGCCGTCCTCCAAGCTCCCAGGCTGTGCAGAGGACAGGGCTGCCTGCCCTTGGCCACAGGGAGGAGGCACAGGGTAAGCAAGAAAAAGGGTAGAAACATATGGCATATATGGTGGCTCCCACCTACCCCAAATTATGGAAGAAAATGACAATTGCTGAGTGCCTATTTTGTGCCAACCACCATGCCGTTGGATTTCATGTGGGGGAAGCTGTCTTGGTTTAGTCACCCCAAGAATCCTGTGAGGTTGGTACTACCATTAGTTCCCTTTTTTAGATTAGTACACTGAGACTCAGAGAGGTGAAATGACTTGCCCAAGGTCACACGAGAGCATGGCAGAACTGTGATTAGAGCTCCTGTTAGTCTGGCTCCAAAGCCTGTGTTTTCTCTATTCCACACTTCTGACTACCCAACATTTGACCATTCCTGGTCTCAGCCCATGAGCATTAGGAAGGCAGAAGAGCACAGGTTCCTGGTACCACACTACTAGCTGTGTGACCTTGGTCAAGTTACTTAACCTCTCTGTGCCTCAGATACCTTATCTGTAAAATCGGGATGGTAATAGTATTTACCTCATGAGATGGTTATGAAGATTAAATGAGTTTATAAATACAACGCAGCACAGAGAACAGTGTCTGACTCATGATAAGTACTATATGTGTTAGCTATTCATCTTATTATTATTATTATCATAGTTGAAGGGGGGTGGCTTTAATGCCACCTGGGACAGCCTTGCCCAGCCTCTGAGTTAGGGTTTTCAGGTTGGAAAGGAGAATTGAGTGTTATTATTGGAGAAGAGTCCTAAAAATTTATCCAGTCACCAAGTTTCGTGTTGAAAAGTTCAGCAGGTATGAACTGACAGCCACAAATTTAGATGTGAAAAATATGTCACATTTACAGATGCTAGTTAAATCAGTTAAATCTAAGTTTGAGTCATGATCCCAATGGGCTTTTAGATAATTCCTTCGCAGTTATCGGGGCTCCCTTCATGTTTCAGTTTTCTATTGCCATGTAACAAACCACCCCAACACTTAGTGGTTTAAAACAACAACAATCATTCTTCTGCTCAGGAACCTGCGATTTGGCAGGACTCAGCAGGGATGGCTCATCTCTGCTCCATATTGCACGGACCTTCTGTTAAGGGTTATGGAAAAATTGGGGCACAGATAGCATTGATGGTTGCACAGCACAATATGATTATTAAAAAAAAGAGAGAGAAAGAACGGTCAGGGAAAGCCTCACTGCAAAGGTGACACTTGAGCAAAGACCTGAAGGAGGTGAGGAAGCAAATTATGCAGGTGGCTGAGAGAAGAGGGAATGGCATATGCAAAGGCGCTGAAAAAGCGGCGTGCCAGCAGGGTCAAGGAACAGTGGCCAGTTTGACTCAAGAGGAGTGAGAGAGGGCGTCTGGCCCGTACAGACTCCTCCAACCTCATCGCCTCCTCCACGCTTCAGCTTTCTCTCAAATTTTAGAAGTCACTAGGCTCCCCCTGCCTCACCTGCCTGGGTTCCTTCTAGAGACCAGGCCACAGCAGCCTGCATTCTATGCTCCTGAGGCTCCTGAGGCCACACTCTTGTGGAACTTTCCAAAATTTATGCTTAGACATTTGAGATTACCTGCTTAATGCCCATCTCCTCCACTGTACAGTCAGCTGCCTGAGCAGAAGGCCAGAGTCTATTTCTTGGATCCCTCTGTCTGCTGCATCCAGCACAAAGTCTGACACATAATCAGGCTCAATAAATGTTTACTGAATAAATGAACCCCAAGCAAATTGAGGAAGGACACTCGGGATGAGGTCAGATGTGCCACCTACCTCTCCAATTTGAGACTCAGCCTCCATGCCACCTTCTCAAGAAACCCTCCTTGTCGCCCTTCAGACTGGGTCAGCCCCTCTGGTAATGGTTGTCTCAGCTTTCAGCTCAGCATACTTTTCCCTAATAGCACGTATGGAAGTGATAATTAGTCATTCGTGGACTCATCTATTTAGCATCTGTCACACCTGCTAGTCTGGAACATAATAGCTCTAGTGTTCTAGGAGCTCTAAATGACATGCAGGTATCTTCATAATCACCCTTACAAGGTATTACCCTATTTTTTACACAAATAACATTTGCCTTCTATGTTTGTTTGTCAACTGCGTCCTCCCGCTGCAAGGTAGTGAGGTATTTTCGTAAGCACCACTATGCCAATTTGTTTTACATTTTGCTGTGAAGAAATTAGCATAGTGCACTTACAAAAATACCTCATGGGGAGGAGGGTGCGACTGGCAAACAAATGTAGAAGGTGCACTTTATTTGCACAAAAATATGATATTATTCCCATTCTACAGAGAGGGAAACTGACAGAGAGATCAAGTAGAAGGCAGTTCAGCCATTAGATGGCTGAGTCAGGATTGGAACCCAAGGCAGCTGACCCCAGAGGCTGTGCCTGTGACCATTGCTCCACATGGGCTCACTATACTGTCTCAAGGGCAGGCCCACACCTGTCCTGTTCACTGATAGACCCTCAGCACCAGACACTAGCCTGGCACAAAGAACCTATATGATAAGTAGTGGCAGAATGAACAAGTGACTGGCTGAATGAAACAAATGGGAGGCCAAGCTGAGCGATGGCTAAGACACATTTTAAGGGCTTGGCCTCATTTCTTTGTCCTCTCCCCGCCCAGGGGTCAAAGTCACTGAGGTGGACTGGCAGCAGCAGAGGAATGGCGCTGCCCACCACACCCAGGAGTTCCCCGGCCCCTATCTGGTGGTCCGCAGGGGCCAGATGTTCACTATCACAGTGAATTTCAGCAGAGCCTTGGAGAGCCAGGAGACCCTCATCTTCACGGTGGAGACAGGTAACTATGCCTTGCAGCACCCCCTGCTGGCCTGCAATCGGAGAGACTTATCTTGTGACCCATCACCCAAGACACTGTGTCACCAGTCTATCGCAGACACTAGGGAAAGCTAGTCCCTGTAGGCAGGCTAGGCCTCAAACCCTGGAGGCTTTTTTTCTTTTTTATTGTTGTAGTTTAAGTGAAAGTTTACAATTCAAGTTAGTTTCTCATACAAAAGTTTATACACACATTGTTATGTGACCCTAATTGCTCTCCGTATACTGTAACAGCACACTCCTCCTTTCCACCCCTGATTTCACATGTCCATTCAATCAGCTCCTAACCCTCTCTGCCTTCTCATCTCACCTCCGGACAGGAGCTGCCCATTTAATCTCATGTATCTACTTGAGCTAAGAAGCACACTCTTCACGAGTATCATTTTATGTCCCATAGTCCAGTCCAATCTGTCTGAAGAGTTGGCCTTGGGAATGGTTTTAGTTCTGGGTTGACAGAGAGTCTGGGCCCATGCTTTCTGGGGTTCCTCCAGTCTCAGTCAGACATTAAGTCTGGTCTTTTTACTAGAATTTGAGTTCTGCATCCTACCCTTTCCCTGCACCCTGGAGGCTTTTGATGACAGCTTTCCAGGGATGGATGAGATGAGCTCTCTGGAATCCCATGAACTACAGGGAAGCTAGGGCTCTGGGAGGGCATGAAAAATCACTGGGAACTTTGGGAGTCCAAGCTTATCTTCACTTTCCTGGCTAGACATAAGCCAGAACTTTGGTTTCAAAGGATCCTCTCACTTTCTCCTTGGTGCAGGAAGGGCGGGGAGTCAGGACAGCAAGGTGTATCCTGCTCAGCCACTCACCTCTCATACTTTGGTCAAGGCTCTCCGCATCAGTCTCCCATCAGTTCAGGGGGGAAGGTTGGACTTCCAGGCCTGCAGCTTCTCCACTTCTCTGGAGCTGGATTTCCCAGGTATCGCTGGGTCTTCTGAACCCCTTTCCTCTCCACCAGGACCCCAGGCTTCTGAGGCCCTTCACACCAAAGCTGTGTTCCAGACATCGGAGACGGAGGCCGGCACTGCCTGGAGAGCCATCCAGGAAGCTCAGAGTGAGAACACCCGGACTGTCAGCCTCACCAGCCCTCCTGATGCTGTCATTGGCCTCTACTGGCTAAGTGCCAGTGTCTCCTCCCGCCGCAAGCACAGCAACAGGAAGCTGGGCGAGTTTGTTCTCCTTTTCAACCCGTGGTGCCCAGGTAGGAGCTGCCGACCCGAGGCAGAGATATATATTTCTGGAAGCTGTTCGCAGAGGCAGGCCTGCCTTTGCAGAAGCTGAAGGGGCTTCAGATGGCAGGTTAAGGTGCAGGGAGGTGAATGCCAAGAGCTGGGCCAGAGCCTGCCTTAGGCAGTGTTAGGCACTGGGTAGAGAAGCCTGGCAGCAGGTGCTATGAAGGAGCCATGCGCGGGGTAGGGAAGAGGGCTGGAATCTAGTATGCGGAGGCCGGTGTGCAGTGAGGGTGCCAGATGGCCAGGAGAGGCCAAGGAGTGGGTAAGAGCCTGGGTTTTGGAATCAGACAGACCTTGATTTAGTCACAGCTCTGCGAAGTTACTTCCCTTTCTAAGTCTCAGTTTGTTCATCTGCAATATGGGGATAATAACAGTGCCTGCCCCATAGGATTATGGTGAAAATTCATAGAGCTAATGCTTGCGAAGCACAAGGTACATTGTAAGGCCTCAGTAAATGGTAGCTGGGATCATATTAATAATAGGAAATTTCCTTATTAATACTTAAGAAATACGAGGCTGCCATTGGCATCAAGGAAGTTCACCCAAAAGTATCAGGACTCCTAAAATCTTTCTGTCTTGGGCTGAGTTGGGGTTGGTCCCTTCCTGGGGAGATACCACCCCACGGGGTGTGATGAGGGATCAGGGGCTTGGCAGGGTTGTCTCCTTCTGCCCCGTCAGCCTCCGGGCGCTGTACTGCCACTTTCCCCTGATGCAGCCCCTTCCCCAGGCCACCAGGGCCAGAGCCCCAGCCCATGAGGGGCCTGATAACTGCGTTTCAGAGGATGACGTGTTTCTGGCCTCGGAGGAGGAGCGACAGGAGTACGTGCTCAACGACAGTGGGATCATCTTCCGAGGCGTGGAGAAGCACATCCAAGCCCAAGGCTGGAACTACGGGCAGGTCTCCAGGGGCACAGGCCAGACAGGGTGCAGGCTGGGTGGTGAAGTCAGCCAAGGGGACCTCTGTCTGCTCACTTCTCCCTAGACAGGCACAAGCTGAGCTGACTCATAGCACAAATACATTCATTCGTTCATTTATTAACTGTGTCAGGGCCTGTGCTGAGTCCTTGGGAGAAGAGGCACTGTGGATACAGTCTGGAAACAGAATAGTTCAGTTCTATTGTGGACGGATAAATAGCTTAGATCAGAGATCTTCAAACCTTAGAAGGCATCAGAATCCCCTGGAGGGCTCATTAACAGTGACTGCTGGACCCCACCCCAAGAGCTGCTGATTCAGTAGGTCTGAGACAGGTCTAATAATTTGTATTGCTAACAAGCTCCCAGGTGATGCTGATGCTGCTGGTCTGGGAGTCCGCTTTGAGAGCCACTGGCTAAGATAAATACAGTTCAAGGTGCGATGGGGAGGGAAAGTGGTAGAGATGGGAGTAAAAGGAGTTCGGAAGAGGGTAAAAGCAAATTCCACCTGGGGACCGGAAGATATTGGAGTTAGGTCTCCAAAGTTGGGCAGGATCTGGACGGTCAGAGGAAAGAGCAGACACAGCAGCGTGGAGGTGGGAAGTGTGGGTGCCATCTGAGGTTCTGCTAAAGAGGTTCTGTCTGCCTGAGCCCAGGTGCCCAACAGGTAGGGATGTAGGACCTCAAACAAACGTCAGGCTGAGCAGTTTAAGCATTGCCCTGAAGGCCAGGGATTGAGCATTTGGGGCTCAGGACTGAGCAGAGATGCTATGCTAGACAGTTTAGGGTCCAGCTAAGGGTTAAATACTATTCATTGCCCACTGGATCCTAGACCTTCCAAATTTTGAGAGATCACCAATCTTCATTTTTATGTAAAAATCCCCCAGTTTTTTTAAACTAATTCAAATCTTTTTGAAAACATCAAGTAGACCAAATGAGCATATTGGTGAGGTGGAGTTTTTGTGACTTTACTGTGGGCAATGGGGAATCATGTAAGATTACTGAACAGGGAGGCGCATGCTTAAGGTTGGGCTTCTGGTCCCCAGTTGACTCTGAGTATGGGTTTCTGAGACTTGCTGACGCTCTGTCTGTGATGTCCCTGGGGGTGGAGTTCAGGTGAAGCCTCCATGCTGATGCAAGTGACTCGGTGAGGGTTGTGTGAGGGTCTAGGATATGGGCAAGGTGCTGGCCTCTAAGCACAGCCTTTCTGGGAAGCAGTTTGAGGAGGACATCCTGAACATCTGCCTCTCCATCCTGGACCGAAGCCCCAGTCACCAAGACAACCCAGCCACCGACGTGTCCCGCCGCCATGACCCCATCTACGTCACCAGGGTCATCAGTGCCATGGTGAGGCGCCCCCCGCTGGCTCTTCAAATTCTCTCCCAGGGCCACACCCTATGATTTTTCCCAAGGCACCCCTCTTTTGATGCTCTATTGCTATGTAGCAAACCACTCCAAAATTCAGTGACATAAAACAACCATTTATTAAGCTTATAATTTTGTAGATCAGAAACTTGGGCAGGGCACCATGAAGATAGTTTGTGTTTGCTCCAAGATGTTTTGGCTGGGTGACCTGAATGGCTGCAGATGCCTGGGTTGGTTTGATAGGGACCATATATCTGGGACCTTGGTTCTGGCTGTTGACGCTTCCTTGATTCTCTTCCATGTCATATCTGATGGAGCTGGAATATCCAAGATGGCGCTCATGACTGGCACCTGGCCAGAGATGTCTGGGGCTGTCCAGGCATTGTTATTTCTCTCCATGCAGCCTCTCCAGGTGGTTAGCTTAAGCTTCCTCACAGCATGGCAGTCTCAGGGTAATCAGACTTCTTACATGGTAGCTGGGGCTACCATGTGATTGTTCCAAGAGAGAGGGAGTGGGCTCAGGTTCATAAGGCCTGGGCTTAGAAACTGGCAGCATCACTTCCACCATAACCATTGGTCAAAGAAGCTACAGTCAAGCCCAGATTCAAGGGGAAGGGACATAGAACCACCTTTCCATGGGAGAAGCTCCATCTTTAACTGCTCACACTCCTCAGGCCACCATGCGTCCTCCTTGAAAGGGAGCCAGAGGGCCTACTAGCTCTCTCTATCACAGGCAAGTGTCAAGGTCAGGGATGGTTACCTAAGACTCTAAAAATGGACAAATTTGCATTTCGCATATTTGATACTCTCAATTCCTCAAGACCTCACAGAAATGTTGGAGCAGATATCATCAAAAGTAGTGACCAATCCAAACAGTAGAGCATTACAGCCCCGTGTACAACAGTCCAGGCTCCCAAGTCAAAGTCCCAAATTATGGGTCACTTTTTTATTAACTTGCAGTGTGATTTTGGACAAGTCCCTTAAACCCTCTGAATCTCAGTCTTCTCACCTGAAAAAAAGAGGCGGGGGGACCAACAGAACCTAAATCATAGACTTAAACAGGTAATCTAGTGTACACGAAGTCCTTAGGACAGTGCTGGCACTTAGTAAGCATTTAATAAATGTTAGCTGTTTCTGTAGAACTATACTGGCGACAGTTTCAACAGGTAGATCATTTAAATCAGGAAATGCTAAAATTGTACAACAGAGGATCCAAGTAGAAAATAATTGAAAAAGGTAAATGGTACCAAAAAAATAGGCATTTGAAGGCAGCCAAAAAACCAAAACCAAACCCGTTGCTGTCCATTCTGACTCATAGCGACCCTATAGGACAGAGTAGAAACTGCCCCATAGGGTTTCCAAGGAGCGGCCGGTGGATTCAGACTGCTAACCTTTTTGGTTAGCTGCAGAACTCTTAACCACTGCGCCACCAGGGCTCCAAACTGTGGTTAGATGCCACAAAGTAGGTGGCAATGCCTTAATCATATGCATGCTGTAAGGCCTGAGGGCCCCTTCCACCTTTATCAAGAGGAGTGGTAATTTTCTCAACTTTCATACAGAACTTGAAGGCAGCAGAGGCCCCCAATTTTCAGGCAATTTAAAAATAAGGGGTAGGCCAAATCACTGGGTGGTCCAAAGCTGGAGATGATTTTCCAGTGGTGAAGCTTCTGGAGGGGGAGCCCTGTCTGGTTGTGGACCGTGCCCTCCTCTCCCAGGTGAACAGCAACAATGATCGAGGCGTGGTCCAAGGCCAGTGGCAGGGCAAGTACGGCAGCGGCACCAGCCCACTGCACTGGCAAGGCAGTGTGGCCATTCTGCAGAAGTGGTTCAAGGGCCGGTACAAGCCAGTCAGATACGGCCAGTGCTGGGTCTTCGCTGGAGTCATGTGCACAGGTACCCTGGAAATAAGGTCCCGCATCCCCCCCAGAGCCTGCCCCATGTATTTGCATAGATCAAAAATCCATTTTCCTTTATCTGTGATGGGCAAATGGAAATCTGGCTGATGATAAGAGAAACCAAATAGTTCATTCACATGGTTTTTGATCTTTTGAGGTCCCACTTCCCTCTGCCTCTACCTCACTGTGTCCCCTTGGGTGAGCCCTTTGAACCCCTAGGCCTTAGGTTCTCCTCTGGAAAATGAGCAGGTTCTAGTCTATGACCTCCATGGTCTGCCAGCGTCAGTTTGTCTATTCTACCAGGGGTGGTGGTAGTGTCTCCAGAAGACCTCTGAGAGGGTACACAGGAGAGAGTAGATGGAAGGCTCAGCCTGGCCAAAGCAGACAGACCAGTGGAGACAGGGAGAGACTTTGGCCTGAAATGAGGTGATGCCTACTGCGGGAGGCCCCTCTCCCTGGGTCTGGTGTCCTGGCCTGCTCCTGGAGCCGCCCTGGCCTCCTGCCCTTCAGTCCTTAGGTGCCTGGGGATCGCCACGAGGGTTGTGTCCAACTTCAACTCAGCCCACGACACGGACAGGAACCTGAGTGTGGACAAATACGTGGACTCCTTCGGCCGGACCCTGGAGGACCTGACAGAGGACAGCATGTGGTGGGCTGAGAGGCCGGGCCGGGGCTCCCCGAGGCCCTGCAGTTGTGGCAGGGCCTTGTCTTCCATCACAGCCGGGGAGGGGCTGACCCAGACCTAGAACCCCACTCTGCTGCGTCGGGGCCAGTTCTGGGAGGAATGAGAGGCGCCCTGTGGAGTGGAAGGGGAGGGGTCGCGAGAGACAGGACTCCTCTTCTGAGATGTAGAGGGAGTCTTTGGACACACGACTCAGAGATCAGGAAGGGGCCCAAGATTTGATTGCTTTGAACCTCCAATTCTGCAGTCTGCACCCTGTGGGGATCTGAGCCCTCCTCAAGATTTCTGTGCCTTCCTGGGGGCTTCGTTCCACATAGTCACCTCTGTATTGGGCTCCTGCTCCCACATGTGCTGCCTGGGCTCTGTGCTGTGCTCCCTGGGTGGGAAACAACCTCCTCCCTCAGTTAAAACAAACCAAAACTCTTCACACAGAGCATTAAGAGTTCATTTTAATTTAATTTTTAAAAACAGGAAATTAATTCATGTGAGTTAATATTTAAAAGGTACAAAATGGGTTACGGTAAAAAGTCTCCCTCCCACCCAGTTCCCCAGGCACCTTATCCTCCTCCCCAGAGACAAAATATGACTAACTTCCCACATAGCCTTTCAGAGAGAGGCTCTACAGATAAAAGGACATGTGTTTATACAGCTCCCCTCCCCACTTTTACCTGGTAGCATAATGTCAATCTGTTCTTGCTTGTATATTTAGCAATTCCATATCAGTATGTAAAGAGATTCTTTATTTTGCATAGTGTTTAAAGTATTAATAATAACACCATGCACAATGAGCACCGAGTCTGAGAGGCCCAGTCCTAAGTACTATTCATATATTAACTCATATATCCCTTCAAACAACCTTATGAGCAAGTTAGTATATTCTCTCTTTTATAGATGAAGGAACTGAGGTGTAGAGAGGTTAAGGAACTTGTCTAAGGCCACACAGCTAGTGAGTGGAAGAGCAGGGTATGAATCCATTCCGCCTCTCAGTTGTATGGGGAAACCATCATTTATTTAACCATCCGGTATGGATGCACATTTGTGTTGCTTCTGAACGTTTGCTTTTACAAACAAGGCTTCACTGAATAACCTTGTCTGAATGTCTCTTCACACACAGGCAAGTCTGTCACACAAGCAATTTTTCCGTAGGGTCAACTTCCTAAAGATCAGAGCAGACGGTAGACGGCATACACTGCAAACATACAGACAGCCTCAGCATCCCTATTCTTACAGTGTCCTTCAGCCACCCTCAAGGGAGCATGCCCAGGCATCTTTTCCTGTACCCGGTCTCCAGCCTCATACAACCCCTCTGCTCCTCTCTTCTTCCCTCTACATCTCCTCTCCTTTGTTCCCATCACTAGGAGCACCCCCCAAACACACACACACACACACACAGATTCTTCTCCTTCCCTCATGCAGAACGGACAGACATTCCTTTTTGATGCTGGCATCTCTGTCAACACCCAGGTTGACAGTGGCCTCCCATTTTCCCAAACACAGTTCCCTCCCTAAGAGGAGTTCTGAGGCCAGCTGTAAAGATGCAAAGTCAGGCAAACTGGGAATCAGGCTTCTCTCTGCTGTTTCCTTACTGCGTGACTTTGTACAAGTGGTGGCACTTTCCCTAGTCTCATATTCTCATCTTTAACACAGAAATTTTAAAATAAAACCTGAACTCCTTACCAAGGCCTACAGAGCTGCATAATCTGAAGCCCACCCACACTTGTCCTACCCCAAAGATACTTACATACTTCCTGTTCCTTGAACATTCTAAGCCTTTTCTGGTCTAAGGACCTTTGCACATGCTGTTCCCTCTGCCCAGCATGCTGTTTACTCTCCTTATAGCCACACACAGAATACAAGGCACAGGGTGGCGCTCACTAGGAACTCCCCCTCCTTTGGGCTTCTGCGCTCACCCTCGGCCACCCTGCCCTTCCTCCCCCTCTGGCAGGAATTTCCACGTCTGGAACGAGAGCTGGTTTGCTCGGCAGGACCTAGGCCCCACTTACAATGGCTGGCAGGTTCTGGATGCGACCCCCCAGGAAGAGAGCAAAGGTACAGGATGAGAGGGGGTTCCCAGATCCCTGATCTTCCCCACCCACACTGCTCATGCCCACCTCTCCTGCCCAGGAGTGTTCCGGTGTGGCCCAGCCTCAGTCACCGCCATCCGTGAGGGCGACGTGCACCTGGCCCACGATGGCCCCTTTGTGTTTGCGGAGGTCAACGCGGACTACATCACCTGGCTCTGGCACGAAGACGAGAGCCGGGAGCGTGTGTACTCGGACACGAAGAAGATCGGAAGGTGCATCAGCACCAAGGCAATGGGCAGTGACTCCCGCGTGGACATCACAGGCCTCTACAAGTACCCGGAAGGTAAGGACAACATGGTGGCCTCTGGCAGCCTCCCCAAAATGGCGCGTCTACCCAGGGTTAGGGAGGTGGGCAGGCTCTTTCAAAAACGCTGTGATGGTGATAGCAGCTTCCGTTCAGCATTGTCTTTCAGCTTCGAGCCAACTGCTTTGATTTAGGTTACATTAATAGTTTCCTCTGTTAGCTAAGTACCTCTTCTGTGTTAGATTTCCCACATATAATAATAATAGCTACATTTCCTTGAACATTTATGTGCCATGCATTGTATTAGGTATATTCACATATGATAATAATAATTACTACTAATAATAATGGTGATGGCAGTAGTAGATATTATTTACTGAACACCTAGGATACACTGTGCTAGGAACAGCTCATAATAATAATAAGTATAGCAGCTCCTGTTTATCTGCCAGGGCCTGTGCCATAGTCATGAAATTATGGTCAACAGTTTATTGAAGAGCCCATGCTTGTTGGGGTATAAAAACAAAACAGCTGTATTTTATTCCAGTAGCTACCTCCAACTATGTATTTTAAATGTCTCCTTTTCCTAGGATGGAAAAAAATATTTCATGCAAATAATAAGCAAAGAAGAACTGGGTTGGCTATATTAATATCAGACAAAATAGATCAACCTTAAGTCAAAACCTGTTAGACTGACCAAAAAAGGGAGAAGACTCAAATCACTAAAATCAGAGGGGACATCTCTACCAACCTTACAGAAATAAAAAGGATTACAAAGGAATATTGTGAACAACTCTATGCCAACATATTAAATAACTTAGGACAAATTCCTAGAAAGACACGAATAACCAAGACCATTTCAAGAAGAAATAGAAAATCTGAATAAACCTATAACAAGTAAAGAGATTGAATTAGTAATCAAAAAATTCCCCACAATGAAATGACCAGGCCTAGATGGTTTCACCACTGAATTCTGCCAAATATTCAAAAAAGAATTAATACTAATCCTTTATAAACTCTCCCAAAAAATAGAAGAGGACACTTTCCAACTCATTCTATGAAGTTAATATTACCATGATACCAAAACCAGATGATAACATCACAAGAAAACTACAGACCAATAATCCTTATGAATACAGAAGCAAAAATCCTCAACACAAATACCGGCAAACTGAATCCAGCAACACAGAAAAAGGATTATCTACAACGACCAAGTAGGATTTATCCCGGAAATACATGGTGGGTTTAACATCAAAAATCAATTAATGAAATGCCCCATATCAACAGAAAAAAGGACAAAATTACACTGTCATCTCAACAGACACAAAAAAAGTTTTTGAAACAATCCAACAATTCTTTATGAGAAAAACACTCAACCAATTAAGAATAGAAGACAAATTCCTCAATCTGGTAATAAACAATTATGAAAAAGCCATGCTAATATGCTTCATGGTGAAACATTGAACGCTTTCCCCCTAAGATAAGGAGTAAGACAAAGATGTCCACTCTTGCCACCTTCATTCAACATTGTAATAGAGCTACTAAACCCATTGCCGACAAGTCAATTCCAACTCATAGCAACCCTATAGGACAGAGTAGAACTGCCACATAGGGTTTCCAAGGAGCAGCTGGTGGATTCGAACTGCCAACCTTTTGGTTAGCAGCCAAGGTCTTAACCACTGCACCACCAGGGCTCCCAATAGAGGTACTAGCCAGGGAAATTAAGCAAGAAAATAAATAAAGAATTTCTGGATTGGAAAGGAAGAGGTAAAGCTATCTCCATTTGTACATGACAAAATCTAGTATATATAAAATGGTAAGGAAGCCACTAAAAAGCTATTAGAACCAATAAATGTGTTCAGCTAGGTTGCAGAATACAAAAATTAATTGTATTTCTATATACTAGCATAACTAATCCAAAAATGAATTTTTTTTTAATTCCATTTACAGCAGGATCAAAAAGATAAAATACTTAGGAATCAATTTAACAAAAGAAGACAAAGACTTGTACACTGAAAGCTACAAAATGTTGAAAGAAATTAGAGAACACCTAAATGAATCTGCTCCTTGGAAACATTATGGGGCAGTACTACTCTGACCTATAGGGTTACTGTGAGTCAGAATCAACTCAACGGCAACGGGTTTGTTTTGTTTTGTTTTGTTTTTTAAATGAAAGGACAGACATCTCATGTTCAACGATTGGAAGACTTGATATTGTTAAGATGATAAAAATACCCAAATTGACCTATAGATTCATTAAATCTCTATCAAAGTTCCAGCAGTTTTTTTTTTTCTTTTTTGCCAAAATTGACAAACTGATCATAAAATTAATTTGGAGATGCAAGTGACCCAGAATATCTGTCTTAGTCATCCAGTGCTGCTATAACAGAAATACCACAAGTGGATGGCTTTAACAAAGAGAGATTTATTTTCTCACAGTCTAGTAGGCTAGAAGTCCAAATTCAGGGTGTCAGCTCCAGGGGAAGGCTTTCTCTCTCTGTCGGCTCTGGAGGAAGGTCCTTGTCATCAATCTTCCCCTGGACTAGGAGCTTCTCTGCACAGGAACACCGGGTCCAAAGGATGTGCTGTGCTCCCAGCACTGCTTTCTTGGTCGTATGGGGTCCCCAACTCTCTGCTTGCTTCCCTTTCCTTGTATGTCTTGAGAGATAAAAGGTGGTGCAGGCCACACCCCAGGGAAACTCCCTTTACATTGGGTCAGGGATGTGACCTGGGTAAGGGTGGTGTTACAACCCCACCCTAATCCTCTTTAACGTAAAATTATAATCACAAAATGGAGGACAACCACAGAATACTGGGAATCATGGCCTAGCCAAATTGAGACACACATTTTCTGGGGGACATAATTCAATCCATGACAATATCTAAAACAATCTTGAAAAAGAACAAAGTTGGAGGGCTTATACTTCCCAAATTCAAAACTTACTACAAATATACAGTAACTGGGACAGTGAAGTACTGGTGTAAGAATAGACATATAAATCAATGGAATCGAATTGAGAGTTCAGAAATACATTCTTACAGTTATGTTCAATTGATTTTGACAAGGGTGACGACAATTCAATGGAGAAAGAATAATAGTCTTTTCAACAAATGGTGCTGGGATCACTGGATAGCCACATACAAAAGAATGAAGTCGGATGCTTACCTCACACCATACACAAGAATTAACTCAAAATGCATCATAGACCAATATGTAAGAGCTAAAACTATAGAACTCATAAAAGAAAACGGGTAAATCTTTGTAATCTTGGGCTAGGCAAAACGTTTTTAGATACAACTTCTGGGTGGTTTCAAACCACCAGTCTTTCAGTTAGTAGCCCAATGCTTAACCATTTATGACACCCAGGGACTCCTCATTAGTCATTAGGGAAATGAAAATCAAAACCACTTCAATGTGATACCACTTCACACCTACTACGATGTCTATAAATGAAAAGAGAGACAATAATAAGTGTTGGTGAAGTTGTAGATAAACTGGAACCCTCATACATTGCTGATGGAAATGTACAATGGTGAAGCAACTTTAGAAAATACTTTGGCAATTTACAGTTTAAAAATGTTGAGCATAGAGTTACCACGTGACCCAACAAGTCCACTCACAGGTATATACTCAAGAGAAGTGAAAACATACATCCACTCAAAAACTTGTACATGAATGTTTATAGCAACATTATTCAAAATAGCTAAAAAGTAGAAACAAATCAAATGTTCATCAATGGATAAATAAAATGTGGTTTATCCACACAAACCTATTGCCGTCGAGTTGATTCTGACTCATAGCGACCCTATAAGACAGAGTAGAACAGCCCCATAGGGTTTCTAAGGAATGGCTGGTGGATTTGAACTGCCGACCTTTTGCTTAGCAGCCTAGCTCATAACCACTGCACCACCAGCGCTCAGTTGAAATACTATCTGTCAATAACAAGGAACGAAGTTCTGGTACGTGCTGCAATGTGAATGAACCTTGAAAACATTACAGTAAATGAAACATCTAGTCACAAAAACCACACGTTGTATGATTCCCTTTATATGAAATGTCTAGAATAGACAAATTAGAAATTTGAAATTATGAATTTTATTAGTGGTTGCCCAGGGCTGGGGGTGGGGTGGGAGGGAATGGGAAGTGACTACTAATGGTTATGGGGCTTCTTTTTGGGTTGGCCAAGATGTTCTAAAATTAGATCGTGGTGATGGTTGCATGACTCTGTGAATATACTAAAAAACATGAATTGTATGCTTTCAGTGAGTGAATTCTATGTCCATACAACATGAGATGTTAAGTAACTTTTGTGTCCACATGAATCCCTTCAGGTCAAGGTCATATTTTACTAGTGTCCTAGTGAAAACATTAGACTGATGCTCCACTAGAAATTAAAATAAGAGTTTTATTGAAGGAAAAAGAAAATTAAAATCATTCTGCAAAATGGAGAGACACACAGACAGTCAAACAAGAGGCTGGAGCATGTGTTCTAGCTTGCAGGAAGAGCGGTGAGATATTTATCAGTCACAGCAACCAAGGCAAATGGTTTCACATCAAGGGGAGTACAGGGGAAGGAAGGAAAAGTTTACAAGGGATTGTCAAGTTACAAACTTTCCTAACATAGATTTCTAGCCTAACATCAATCTCTTATTTCCCAATACAAATTGACTAAAGCAATATTTCTAAAGCTAGTCATGTAAACATTCCTAATGTGGGGGTTTAGTGATTGATTGTAGGCAGGGTCAACCCTAGTTGGAGTCCTTGAAATGTAAAAGTTGACCATTTGGTTAGGAAGGAGATTAGATCAGCTCTAACTTGAAGCCTTTTGAAATGTAAACATTGCCCATCCAGCTAAGAGGGAGTGAGTTAGGGCCTAGGAATTTGCTGAAAGCAGTTAAGATAGCAAGATTATTTACATAAACTAAGGCCTAGATCTCTACACTCTTTGTGTCACAAGCAATCAACACTTTCACAGGAAGCCAACTTGTCTTTTATAGAAGGCAGAGGCAGGCTTCAAACCTAGTTGCAGCTTAGTTTAATTTCTTTTTCCTTGCCATCGAGTTGATTCCAACTCATAGCGACCCTATAGGACAGAGTAGATCTGCCCATGGGGTTTCCAAGGAGCGGCTGGTGGATTCAAACTGCCAACCTTTTGGTTAGCAGCCGAGCTCTTAACCACTGTGCCACTAGGGCTCTGAATTTAAAATAGACCTTCAGTTTAGGTCTAGGATAAACATTTCGATCATACCAAGCAGCCCCAGTTTTAAGGTTTGCTTATTCATTAGGAACTTTGGGGAAAATGTTTGGGAAAGAGTGATGTGGGAGAAGCTGAAAATCTAAGTAGGGAAGTGGAATGATCAGAGTTGGATTTTGGAATGATCGGGGTGGAGGAAGGACTGGGTTGGAGGTGGGAGCTGGTGGCTGGCAATGGGGAGGCTGCTACCGCCGTCCAGGAGAGGGTAATGGTGGCTTGAGCATGAGTAGGGATGGGAGAACAGGGCAGATTCCAGAGATTAAGGAGGACTTGGTGACTGATCAGTTGTGGGTGGTGAGGGTGAGGAAGGAATCAAGGACACTCCCAAGTTTCTGGCTTGTACAACCAGGCAGATAGTGGAGCCATTTGCTAAGATGGGGAATGCTGTAGGGCAGAAGATGGCATCTTTTGTGGGATTTGAAGCACTTGTGGCCATCTGGCAAAGCTGACCAGTTGTATATATTGGTCTGGAGCTCAAAAGACAGGTCTGTGCTAGCAACAGGGAAGTTGAAGATCAAGGAGTCTAAACTCATGTCTTCAGGAGCCTTGCAGCAGACTTGGGCAATTACAGGGTGGAGACTGTGGAGAACCGGAGAGTACATTCCCTTCTGCAAGGGGTAGCACTCAGCTCTAGCCCATTATTACCATGTTGTTGTTTTGTGCCGTGGAGTCGATTCTGACTCATAGTGACCCAGTAGGACAGAGTAGAACTGCCCCGTAGGGTTTCCTAGGCTGAAATCTTTACAGGAGTAGTTCATCAAATCTTTCACAAGCCAAGTGGCTGAAGGGTTTGAACTGGTGATCTTTTGGTTAGCAGCTGAGCACTCAATCACTGTGCCACCAAGTCTCCTTTACTGGTATGTAGAGAGGTGGTAATGGAGCAGGATTAAGGCCCTGGAATTTGGAGCCAGCCTCCTTGGCTTCAAATCCTGTCTCCCTCATTTAAAGAACTGTGTGGCAAACAAGTTAACTTTACTTCTCTGTGCCTCTGGTTCCTCATCTGTAAAACAGGGGTGCTAATAGTCCCTATCTCCCAGGAGGAAAGAAACAGCACTTAATGTTGACCAGTGTGGCTGTGTCAGTATGGTGATGGGAACAGCCGTGCCAGGGAGCACTCATCACATATGCCAACTTACATGAAAGTGTTTTTAGCAAGTGTGGAGTTATGGCAGTTGATTATCATGAGGCAAGCTAGTTCAGGATGAAGGAGTTGACAATGGAGATAGAGAGAGCACTGAACCAAAGAACTTTATTAAAGCGAAGATGAGTACAATGTGCTGCAACATTAGAAGAGGGCGGTGTATGAGTCCAAGCGACCTTCCAAGTTTTAGAACTTAGAGAAAAACAGGGTTATGACATGGTAAGAAAATTTGGAAAGCTACATACAATGAAGTATGTCAGAAAACAGAGAATCTTTTTTTTCCTGTTTTTTTTTTTTTTTTGTACTATAGATGAGGATTTGCAGAGCAAATTAGTTTCTCATTAAACAGTTAATACGCACACACACAAAAAGAAATACCACTTAAAGCAATGGTGCCTGGCACATGTAAGTCTATAAAAGTCTTAGCTATTATGATTACATGAGACTTTCAGGCCCAGTTGTCACAGAACCTGGAAATCTGTATTTTTATGTGAAATTTCCTGACCTGCAGTTGTTGACAACTGATTAAAACATTATTTAAATAGTCTGAGAACCAAACACAATGATCTGAGGTCTGCATATGGCCCTTGGTATGCCAACGTGAGCCCTCGGACAGTGGTGGTAAATTAAGGTGGCGGGAGTAAGGATCTTGCCCAGAGAAGAGGGGAAAAGAGGGTAGATGGGAATGGGGCTGGGAGGAAGAGGAGGCCGGCTCTAAAGATGCAGGACGCCCTGCAGGGTCCAAGAAGGAAAGGCAGGTGTACAGGAAGGCTGTGAGGAAGCTGTTCAGCGTGGAATCCTGCGGGCGGAGAAACCGGATTCGCAGGGCCGGAAGGCGTGGTCTCTGGCGTGACGACCTCCTGGAGCCCGCCACGAAGCCCAGCATCACCGGCAACTTCAAGCTGCTGGAGCCACCTGTCCTGGGCCACGATCTGAGGCTGGCCCTGTGCCTGGCCAACCTCACTTCCCGGGCCCGGAGGGTCCGCGTCAACCTGAACGGTGCCACTATCCTCTACACCCGCAGGCCGGTGGCAGAGATTCTGCACGAATCCCATGCAGTGCAGCTGGGGCCCAAGGAAGGTAAGAACATCATCACCTTGTGAGACCTGCCCAACCCAGCCCCTTTTTCCAGAAGGCTGGCGTAGGGGGTGGGGTTCTTCAGGATCCTTCATTCCCAGGAAGGGAAGGGACATTCTTGAGCATTGTACTCAGTGCCTGGCCTGTGGAACTCTTGTCCCTACTTTCCAGATGAGAAAGCTGAGGCTCAGAGGGGCTAGGTAATGATAATAGTTGTTAAAAAAAAAAAAAATCAAAACTCAAGGAAATGGAAACGTAAGGTTTACTCTGAGCAGTTATTCTATATGCATATAGGAGACCATTATGATTCTAAAAAAACCCAAATGGCTCTATGCAGGCTAGTTACAAAGCCCATTGCCATGGAGTCTGTTACGACTAGGACAGAGTAGAACTGCCCCACGGAGTTTCCAAAGGGCAGCTGGTGGATTTGAGCTGCCAACCTTCTGGTTAGCAACCAGGCTCTTAACTACTGTGCCACCACAGCTCCAGGCTAGTTACAATGAAGCTTATAAAGGGAAGAGAAGGGAGACAGTAGAAAATCGACCGTTGGCTAATCTTAGTGACTGATTGAACTCTCCCCCCGCATCCCCTTACTGAGATCAGGTGATATCAGGTTACTAGGTGGTCCCTGGCCTGGCTGCCACTTCCCCCATTCATTTTCACAAATCTTTTAGTCCACAGGTTTTTGGAGCCCTGATGGCACAGTGGTTAAGAGCTCGCCTGCTAACCCAAAGGTTGGCAGTTCAAATCCACCAGCCATTCCTTGGAAACCCTATGGGGCAGTTCTACTCTGTCCTATAGGGTCGCAATGAGTCAGAATCGACTTAATAACAAGTTTGGTTTCGGAGGTTTTAAAATGTTAAAACGTACCTCATCTCTCAGGAAGCAAGGGGAATTACCTAAAGTTACGTCTTTTTGCATTAGATAAACTCTGATCTAGCTTATGGTTAACAAATGTTGTCACAAAGCAGTTTGCAAAGATTTAATCGCTGTGTTAAACTGGGCCTCAACTTCCTTATTATTGTTATTGTTGTGTGCATGGAGTCAATTCCCACTCATAAAACCAAACCGACTGCCTTTGAGTCAATTCCGACATGGGAACCCTGTAGGACACAGTAGACCTGCCCCATATGGTTTCCAAAGCTGTAAATCTTTACGGATGCAGACTGCCACATCTTTTCCTACTGAGCAACTGGTGAGTTCAAACCAGTGACCTTTCTGTTAGCAGTACAGTGCCTTAACCAATAAGCCACCAGGGCTCCTTCCGCAGTGACCCTATATAAGAAAGTAGAACTCCCCCCATAAGGTTTCCTAGGCTGTAATCTTTAGGGGAGCAGATTGCCAGGTCTTTTCTCCAAGGAGCAGCTGGTGAGTTTGAACTACCGAACTTTCAGTTTGCAGCCCAGCGCTTAACCATTGTGCCACCAGGGTTCCTTTGCCTTATTAACACTCCTTAAAGCCAGAAAAAAAAAAAAGAAGTTTTATAGTTTTACGATTTGGGGGTTGAGGCTTTTACTGTTAATTTTTGGTTTCGTGGGTAAGAAAAAACCCTTAAAATCAAAGTAAGATATCTGTTATTAATTTTTTTCTTCGACATAGTAATAAAAGAGTCCACAAATCATCTGGTGGCAAAGTAACCCAGTGGTGAAGCAGTTTGTTGCCTTTATTTATCCCAACTGGTATGGATACTTACATGCCAAGTAAACACCTGCTGGGAGCATTTCATAAAATATGGAATATGCCTTGTGTTACCTTTCTAAAATCCAAAAATTCTGGAACCACCTGGCTCCAGGTGCTCTGTATGAGAGGGGTGGGCTTGTAAGACATGTTTACTAAGTGTTTACATATGCCAGGCCCTGTCCTAAGAATTCTACATATAATGGCTCTAATCCCCCCAACCACCTTCTGCAAGGTATCAGTGGTAGTTCCATTTCTCAGAGGAGGAACTCACACCCAGAAAGGTAAAGTAACGAGTCCAAAGTGTCACACAGTCAGTGAGTGCATGTATCAGCAGGGCCCAAACCTAGGGAGTCTAATTCCTAACCCAGGGCACACAGTAGGGAAATGGCAAAGCCAGCATTCAAAGCCAAGGATGGTAAACCCCAGGGAACATTTACTCCTCTGATTCAGCTGCCTGTCTGCATGCTGTCAGCGGTCAGATTATGCCTAGTGGTACGTTTACCCAAAACTCACCATCTCTATTTCCCAGCAGAATAGGATGGCTTCAGCCCTTTTTGAAGGTTTTGCGTCATTTTAAGTGATCTTTTTCCAGCTGCTTTTTTTTTTTTTTTTTAATATTTCAAGGAATTTTTTCATGATCCTTGAACACATCCCATTCCGACTCATGCTCACGGTGACTCCATGTGTGTCAGAGTGCAGCTGTGCCCCATAGGGTCTGCAATGGCTGATCATTCAGAAGTAGACTGCCAGGCCTTTCTATCATGGTGCCACTGGGTGGATTCGAACCACCAACCTTTTGGTTAGTAGCCAAGAGCAAACCATTTGCACCACCAAGGGTCCCATAGCAGTTAATAAATGATTAACTAAATTCATTCCATTCTGTCATTGTCGCTTTCTCTTCCTGGTCTGTCTGTCTCTCTCTCTGTCTCTCTCTCAACTTTCATATACATTTCTGAAATCAAAGGATTTAATTAAACAAAGAAGTTGTTCCTCTGGACCAGTTTCTGGTAGGTGGAACTTGTATGTTTTGACACGGCATGAAAACACGTGAAGGTGGTGTCACACACGTTTTCATCTTGTCATTTATTTTTCACAAAATTTAAAACACAAAATAGCGCCTCATAACAAAATATGAATTAACATACACTTTTTCCTAATTTTTAGCAATTTTTTTACCTCTAAAAGTAATACATATTCATTAAAGATTTAGAAAGCACAAGGAAAAAAAGAGAAAAATCACCTATGATTCTACCGCCCACCTGCAAACTGTTAGCATGTTTTCCTTCCGATATTTTTATGCCTGTTTGCTTTTTGAAAAACATGGTTCAAATTATATTGCAAATAACTCATTAGTGCCTTGCTCTTTTCACATTACATCATAATTTAAATATTTTTATAAACACTTCATAAACATCTTAATAGATGTGTACTCTTTAACTAGGTAAATGGTGATACATTTTATGTTTTCTTTTGGGTGGTTATCAGCTTATTGCTGTTAATACTACCACTTGGTGCAAAAACATCTTGCTGTAAAAACTTCCTGTTTTTTTTTTCTTCTGGGTGTTGGTAAAAATGGCGTGGGAGTGTCTGACCTCCTCCAACCCCGCAAGGGGGAAGGAGAACCAAGATCAACAGCCCAAGGCTGACTCCCATGAGGTGGAGGCCAGACAAGCCTCCTCTCCTCTCTCTCTCTGCCATCTCTACTAATTCTAACACCAAATGTCCCTCACACAGCACTCTCTACTTCTCTGCTGGGTTCAATAATTCATTGCAATGGCTACACAGAACTCACAGACCATACTAACGATTATGGGGTTTATTAGGGAAGTAACACTTACAATTCAGGTTCAAGAACACTCAGGATGCAATACTTCATCAGGATAGTCTCTTCCCAGCTGTGCTGACAGGCACGCCTGTCCCTGGGCCTCAGTCTCTGCCCAAAGGCACTGAGCTTTCTCTCTCTGTGGGCCGGGAAGCTCATCTTGCCGTCTCCTGCTGCTGGCCTCTGCTGCTGGGTGTCTCCTGCTGGTCTCTCCTTCCTTGGTGGTGGTGAGCTCTCCTCTGCTCTGAATTGGCTCTCTTTTAAGGCAAAACTGACCAATCCCCTTGGTGGGCCACAATTATCTTATTTGCACAGCCCCGCCCAGTCACCTGGGTGGGAGTTGTAAGACCACGGAGAGACATGCCATACTAAGTAATTCTTCACACTGCAGTGTTGGACTATTTTGTTAGAATATATTCAAAGTGGAATTACTGGGCCAAATGGTATGACTATTAAAATATATAATTTTTTTTGAACGGTTAACAAATACACATGCTACAAGATCTAAAATGTACAAAAATTTGTTTAATGAAAATAGTTATTTTCACCTGGGTCCACCTGCCACCCAGTTCCACTCCCCAGAGCAACAGTGATATGAGTTTGTTGTGCATTCTTCCAAGTATTTTCTATTCATGTAAAGATTATATGTGCGTATATATATATCCAATAAATGCATATATTTATTTCCATTCACACCAGTTTACTTTTTTTCCCTTAAAAAATGTATCTTGGAGACCATTCTGAAAACTGTTTCATTCTTTTCTCCAACTTCATAGCATTCCACAGAATGGATGAACCGTGATTGATTTAACAAGTTCCTGATCCATGGACATTAGAATTGTTTCCATTCTTCTTCTCTTACAATGTTGTAGTAAATGCCCTTTACTTGTGTCATTTTGCACATCTCAGCGTACCCATAGGCTAAACAAGTTGCCATCAAATGGACTCTGACTCATGGCGACTCTGTGTATGTCAGAGGAGAACTGTGCTCCATAGGAGTTTCAATAACTGATTTTTCAGAAGTAGATCACCAGACCTTTCTTCCAAGGTGCCTCTAGGTGGACTCAAACCTCCAACTTTTCAGTTCATGGCTTAGTGCAGTTAATGGTTTGCACCACCTAGGGATTCCATAGGCTAAATTCCCATTATTTCCCGGACCAGAGGGTATGTGAGTTTGTTAACCTGCCCTCCTTCGTGATGGTTTCAATTTACACCTCCATCCACAACGTGTGGGGAGCCTGTTTCCCCACACCCTCTCCAGTAGTGTGTTATCGACCTTTTTTTTTTTTTCCTTTTACCAATGTGAAAGCAAAAACTGGTACCTCTTAATTTGAACTTTTCTTCTTATGTTCTATGAGGGTAACAATTTTTCACGTTTAAAAGCCACGTATTTGATTTCAGATTTCTGTGAACTTTATGTTCATATCCTTTGCCTATTTTTAAATGGAGGTTTTGGTCTTTTCTTACAGAAGAATTAAAAGAAAGCAAACCTTGGTGTATGATCTGAGTTGTATATTCCCTAAACCTGTTGCCATCAAGTTGATTCCAACTCATAGTGACCCTATAGGACAGAGTAGAACTGCCCCATAGGGTTTCCAAGGAGCAGCTGGTGGATTTGAACTGCCGACCTTT